AGCAAAATAACAAAAACAACTCTAGACTTCTAAGAGTTAATGGAGATTTGCGGTTGAAAAAGTCTCAGTCTAGAAAGTCTTGGTCTAGAATTATGATATGCGTTCAAGAATTTGATCTATTTAAGCAATGATGTCATTTTCACCACAAGAATTCTACTGAAGGTCCACAGTGAGAGTTCTTATTTTGTAAATAATCTTTCTTATTTTGTAAATAAAAACTTTTCTTCTACCATCTACAACTTTTAGCTTCAACCTTTAAAACTATTTTGAAGCAGCGATGCAGATCAACCAATCTTGCGGCCGATAGTGTTTGACGGACAGGTGAGCTGACCCCAGCAGGGCAGAACAGGGCGAGGGGCTCTCAGAGGCTGTCTGTACGGTTTGTGAGGTTGATTTGCTAGTGGGTGCTGGTTTAGCCTGTCCGATCACATCTCCAGCTCAAGGCTGCATGGCAAAGTGGAGCTGTTGTGTTTTTGTTTTTGTGCTTGTTCTCTTCTCTCTGTCTCTCTCTCCCTCTCTCTCCCTCTGTTTCTCTCTCTCACTCTCACACACTTTTTATGGCATTCTCTCTGATTCAGGGCTGCGCTGTGTTTGATGTCAGATCCAACACTCCTCAGATCCACTCACAGCCAATTCCTCTAGTCTGCACCGAGCACGCTCAGAAGAAGAGGAAGTAGGTCGCAAAGCAGGAGGTCTGACCGATGGAAAGAGAGACAGAGAGAGAGAGAGAGAGAGAGAGAGGGGCTCCAATTTGCCTATGAGTCCCACAGAGGAAGTTGTAAATGCTGGGCAAGAGTGAGAGATCAGTAACGAGACAACAAAGAAAGAAAGAAGAGAAAGAGAGAGCTCAAAGATAACACAATGACTGACCAACAAAGAAAAAGTGAGAGTGAAAGGAGGGCAAGAGATAAGGAGAGAGTGATAGAGTAGGGAGATTGAGAGAAAGAGAGAGACAGAGAAAAGCAAGAATGAGTGAGAGAAAGTGTGTGTGAGAGAGAGATGTGTGTGAGAAAGAGAGAGAAAGAGAGAGACAGAGAGAGGGCAAGAGAGAGAGACAATAGAAAATGGAGAAGTGAGAGACAGAGACAGAGATACCGAGGAGAGTGAAAAAGACAGCAATAGAAAAAAACAATGAGAGAGGAAAGAAAGAAAGAAAGAAAGAAAGAAAGAAAGAAAGAAAGAAAGAAAGAAAGAAATGAAGAAAGTGTCAGAGAGATAGAAAAGAGAGAAAGAGAGAGAATGAGACAGACAAGAAAAGAAAATGAAAAAAGAGACAGAGAGGCAAGAAGTAAAGAAAGAAAGAAAGAAAGAAAGAAAGAGTGGCAGAGAGATAGAAAAGAGAAACAGAGAGAGAATGAGACAGACAAGAGAGGAAAAGAGACAAGAAGGAGATAGAAAAGACAGACAAACAGACAGAGAGATGTGAGAGAGACAGAGACAGAGTGAGAGAGACAGAGAGCAGAGAAGAGAAAGAGAAACGTCTCCCTGTTGGAACGTCTGTGGTGGCTTTTTCATTGCAGCTTTGACAAACTCATAGCTGCTCTCTGACGTGGTGCCGAATAACATCTCACATACTGCAGTGACAGTGTCTCCTGTAAAACTGTAGTCCATCTGTTTCTCTGCATGCTTTGTTAGCCCCCTTTTACACTCTTCTTCAGTGGACAGGACCCCCATGGACTCTCACAGAGCAGGTACTATTTGGGTGGTGGATCATTCTCAGCACTGCAGTAACACTGACGTGCTGATGGTGTGTTAGTGTGTGTTGTGCTGGTGCGAGTGGATCAGACACAGAAGTGCTGCTGGAGTTTTTGAACACCTCAATATCACTGCTGGACCAAGAATAGTCCATTAACCAAAAATATCCAGTCAACAGCGTCCTGTGGGCAGCGTCCTGTGACCACCAATGAAGGACTAGAGAATGATTACAGCAACTGTACAGCAAGAGATCAGCTATCCTCTCCGGCTTTACATCTACAGCGTGGACCAACAACGCAGGTGCGTCTAATAGAGCGGACAGTGAGTGGACACAGTGTTTAAAAACTCCAGCAGCACTGCTGTTTCTGTTCCACTCGTACCAGCACAAAACACACTAACACACCACCACCATGTCAGTGTTACTGCAGTGCTGAGAATGATCCACCACCCAAATAGTACCTGCTCTGTCAGGGTCCATGGGGGTCCTGACCACTGAAGAACAGGGTAAAATTACAAAGTGCACCTATATAGTAAGTGGAGCTGATAAAATGGACAATGAGCGTAGAAACAAGAAGGTGGTCATAATGTTATGCCTGATTGGTGTATAATACCTAGGACATATTGTTACATATAGGTGCTTATAATACATAAGGAATATATTACTATGTATTTGGCAAGCTAAACAGGACATAGTCAACAAAAACTGATATATGTATACAATGAACATATACATACAGTTACATACATAAATGCTGTTCAGCCCTACCTAGCCCTATGTGAAAAAGTAACTGCCCCCTTAGCTACAAAATCAACCAGTTAACCAAATTTAATTGACTATTGGGGTCAATTTTACTAGCCACACCCAGGCATGATTACTGCCAGACTTGTTGAATCTACACATCACTTAAATAGAACTTGTCTGGCAGTGTGAAGCAGGCTAGAAGATCTCAAAAAGCAGCACATGATGCCACATTCTAAAGACATTCAAATACAGATAGGAAACAAAGTCACTGAAGTCTACAAGTCTGGAAAAGGGTAGAAAGCCATTGCTAAGGCTCTGGGACTCCAGCGAACCACAGTGAGAGCCATTATATACAAATGGAGAAAACCTGAAACAGTGGTGAACCTTCCCCAGAGTGGCCAGCCTAGCAAAATTTCACCAAGAGTGCACTGATGACTTATTCAGGAGGTCAGAAAACAATGCAGATGAACATCTAAAGAACTGCAGGCCTCACATTGACTTAAGGTCTGATTCCACAGTAAGAAAGACACTGGGCAATAATGGCATCCATGGAAGGTGTTGCAAGGTGCAAATCACTGCTATGTATATACATATACAATGAACATATATAACATATGTAACTTATATAAACGTTCATTGTATACATGTCAAAGTTATATATATATATATATATATATATATATATATATATATATATATATTATGGATGGGAATCTCTAGGTACCTCATCATTCGATTTGATTACGATTCAGAGGGCTGCGATGCGATTATAAAACGATTATCGATGCATCTTGATGCATCTTTTTTTTCTATACATGATTTTTGTTTTCTCACTGTGTGAGCTCAAGTTTCAGGTTCGAGTTTCAAGTTTATTTGTCATTTGCACATGTCAGGACATTTATGCATTGAAATGCTTGTGGTGAGGCTCTGCTAATCACTCTACAGAAAGTAATACAATAAAAATAAAAAATACAAGAAAAACCAACTGAAATATATTAAATATACACAAAATATACACAAAATATAAACAGAATATAGAGACAATATACATTTTAAAGTGACTAAGTAACTCGGTGTTATTGTTATTTAAAGTGACTTGGTACTTTTAAAGCAAAGTATTTGTAAGTGTTTCAGTATGTGATAATCTCCTAGTATAGACTAAACAATATAAAGGAAAACGCAGATTTACTTCGCTCTGCTTTAAGCTTCAGCTCAGCTATAGCCGCTTTCCTCCCATCTCCGCCAGAAAACTTTTCCTCAGAAGTAGATCAGTTAAATGTCTCTCAACGTTCGACTGTTTTACGAGGCTGAAGTCGCTTCTTATTCTACAGCTTCTTGTTTGAATTGTCCCGTTTCACCTTAAATTCTAACTGAGGCACCGAATGAAAATGCGGCACCATCTAAGGTGGAACGGGAGAATTCAAAAGAGAAGCGACTTCAGCTTCGCCACTTTTTAGTGTTTGACAGTCTCTCGTTGCAGATTTAACGTACCAGGAAACCAACTGCGCTGCTTATAAATGCGAATAACACATCGTTGCTATGTGACCTGCAGTCTGCATGCCGGTTCTCAGTCGTTGCGCTGTGTTGCACACGTCCCGTAGATATTTTACTGACACAGCGATCCCCCCCGTCTCTACAACAAGACCAAAACCGAAGTTATAAAATCACTAAAGAAAACGGGTAGAATAGCTGTAACGTGCTGCGTGGACATCCATCACCACTGGATCTTATTTCACCGTAACTGCGCATTTTATCGCAGATGAGTAGCAGCAGCTTCTCGTGCTCCAAACAAGAGCACTGAATGAGAGCCTTCTAGTTCACTTGCCACATCACTTCCATTTGATTTATTAAAAAAAGATATTGGAAGTAAATTCATTATGGATCATTACAAATACTGTGCTTTAAAAGTACCAAGTCACTTTAAATAACAATAACACTGAGTTACTTAGTCACTTTAAAATGTGTATTGTCTCTATATTCTGTGTATATTTTGTGTATATTTTGTGTATATTTAATATATTTCAGTTGTTTTTTCTTGTATTTTTATTTTTACTTATTTACTGTCTGTAGAGTGATTAGCAGAGCCTCACCACAAGCATTTCAACGCATAAATGTCCTGACATGTTGTGCAAATGACAAATAAACTTGAAACTTGAACTCGAAACTTGAGCTCACAAAGTGAGAAAACAAAAATACATCATCATCTAAACCGCTTATCCTTCTGGGTCGCGGTGGGGTGCTGGAGCCTATCCCAGCTGTCATTAGGCGGAAGGCAGGATACACCCTGGACAGGTTGCCAGTCCATCGCAGGGCAAGAAAACAAAAATCATGTATAGAAAAAAAGATGCATCGAGATGCATCGATAATCTTTTTATAATCGCATCGCAGCCCTCTGAATCGTAATCAAATCATGAGGTACCTAGAGATTCCCACCCCTAATATATATCATACTTACTATACATCATACTTACTAAGTAGGACATAAATACTTAGTATTTATAGTATAGTATTTATATAATAGATATAGATTAAACAGTGTGTATATATGTGTGTGTTTACTAACCTTGGTTGTTTTGACCTTGTTGCCGGTGCTGCAGCTCCAGCCAGTGAGGTCAGGTAGAACTTTACATTCTTCTCCATCCAGACATGGCTGCATCTGACACCACCACTTCTGAGCTACTATAGATGCTGTACAATCACAAGAGGATAACAACACTTACAACCACACAGTAATATGCAACAGAGTTAAACCAGCTTCATCCAACTTATGAAGGCAGACACCAACCCAAAACTTTTCTTTCTGGCCCCCCACCCTACACACAAACACGACCGCCACAGCATGCAACCAGAAATAAAGAGTGAATCAGACTTTCACTCTCCAACACCAGAACAGCGGCTGTGCTAGAAACCCACAGAGAGAAAGAGTAATAGGTGGACCGTTACATAAAGAGGAGAAAGAGAGAGAGATGGAAATACACAGAGAAGGATAGAAAGAAGGATTAAAAAAGGAATGGAGAGAGAAGGAGATGAGGGAGCAATAGAGATATGAATGGAGAGAGGGAAGACAGAGAAAGAGAGAGAAGAGAAATAGAGCAATGAGGGAGAGAGGGCTGGAGGGAAAGAGAAAAGAAGAGAGAGATGGAAAAATAAAGAGAGGGGTAGAGAGAAATAGAAAGAAAGGAAGAGAGGGAAGGAAGGAGAGAAAGTGGAAAGAGGGATTAAGAAATAGATGGAGAGAAAGGGATGAGCGAAGGTTGGAGAGTGGTATAAAGAAAGAGATGGACAGAAGGATGAGTGAGATGGAGTGAAGGAAGAGAGAGAGAAAGATGGACAGATGGAGAGAGGGATGGAGAAAGGCTTTATTTGACATTTCCTCTCAGGCAGGGTGTGGCGAGGAGAGAGAGCAGACACATGGCTCTTATGGTAAAGAAAACAAGATCAAAATCGATTGTGCTGTCAAGAGGATGGTGTTGACACAGTATTAAATGAATCAGCCAGAGAGAAAGAGAGAGAGAGAGAGAGAGAGAGAGAGAGGGAGAGAGAGATGGAGGGGGTAAAAGCAGGGCAGATAGAGTAAAAGAAAGAAACAAGGGACCACAAAGCTGTAAAATTACTGCAGTATTGCACAATGTTGACACAGTATTAAATTAATCGAGAGAGACAGAGGGAGAGAGAGAGAGAGAGAGAGAGAGAGAGAGAGGTCACTAATATCATGTTCTTGGTGGTTTGTGAAAAGCATGCTGTGTTATGGCTGCACACACACATACACACACACACACAAACACACGATATAAACTAATTCTAATAATCAACACTCTCCTCTACAGCACCCATTTTAGTGTTTAGATTTAGTTCAACACACTTCTTCTCCTAACTGACTTTTGTTCTAAAAAGAAAGTGAGTGGTCAAAACAGATGTTGGGAAACTATAACATGTATTATGAGCACTTATTTCCATGTAGATGACCAGTTTTGTAAAATTAACGTCTGAAACTGCATTACATATATGGTCCTGAAAAAGAGAGCAAGACAGACAGAGAAAGAGAGAGAGAGAGAGAGAGAGAGAGAGAGACAGAGAGACACAGAGAGAGAGAGAGAGAGAGAGAGAGAGAGGGAGGAAAAAAGAGGATAGATAGATAGATAGATAGATAGATAGATAGATAGATAGAGAATGAGAGGAAGGAAGAGAAGGGGAAGAACAAAGAAGGGATAGATAGATAGATAGATAGATAGATAGATAGATTAAGAGCATGAGAAAGAAAGGAAGATAACAGACAGACAGACTGAGAAATAGATAGACAGACAGACAAGTCTTACCATCCACGCAGGACGGAGCTGCTCTGGTGGTTCCGGCCACTTGTCCGGGTAAGCAGGAGCACTTTACAGTCTGAGACCTCTCCTCTATCTTGTTCTTATTACAGCAGCGATGAGCCGCGATCACTTCACACGTTCCAGCCTTTACATGCACTGCAGCAGAGTGCACACACACACACACACACACACACACACACACAAACACAGTTTAAAAGCAGTATGAATACAGATTAAATAACAATGAAAATGTGACACACACACACACCTGATATACACATGCTAACGCTCACACACACACACACACACACACACACACACACACTTTTATTAGGCATTAGCAGGTATGTCCCCTGGTAACTCCTATGCAGCCATCAGAGTGAATTTATTACTGCCTTTTTATACTGTTTAAACATAAAAATCCCTCTGCACTTCAAATTACCTCAATGATTCTTAATTTCACTGGGAATGTAAAACTGACTTCCATTACAACAAATCAGCCAAATGAGATAAAATGGGGAGAACACTGATGCAAATAAGCCAGCGATGCAGCTCTCCTCTGCTGTATCCAAATACGGACATGGCTTTGAAACAACAACACAAATATGCAAAGCAGATGGAGTGTGATTCCTGCTGGATACTGTCATTAAAAAACGTTAATGAGGAAACGGCAGACACCCACCACATACGTTTCAAATAAATATTTGAATTCACTCCAAATGCGTTCATCTCTTTTTCTGGTTTCACCTCTTATTTCCCCGTTTTTTTCCTCACATCTCTCTCTATAGACTCAGATTTCATTTGATTGCCCGGCTTTATGTGTTTGTCGCTGTTTGGAGCACTAAAGCTGTGGGACGTGAAAACGCAATACAATGCACACTCATCGCACTCAGAACAGCAGAGACGGATAAGAGCTCTCATATTTCCTACTTCCATTGACTTCATGCTTCACAATGCTGGAGAACAAGATTTAGATTAAAATTATAGACAGTACAGTGTCTGGTCAAGGGTGAAAAACATATATGATACTACATAGGAACCAAAAGTAATGACGCAATATAAATTCTCTTTTAAGTTCCAAAATGATGTGATTTATTAGACTTCCATTCATTACCTTTGACACAGATAACATGTATTAAATTGAATGCAGTAACTTCTGCTCATACTGATAAGCAACCAGTCAGTCAAATGTATAAATTTTAAAGCACGAATCAATGCGTATCGACTGCTGCAATGCAACTGCAAGCATTCGGATTTGCATCTCCAATATCAGTTCAGCGCACAGAAGCGCAGAGCTTCACCATAGATGTTTTAAATTTCACGCTTTTATAGAGGTCTCATTAGCCCCGTATGACCTTCCCTGTTACAAAAGGAATTGCGTCTTTAATGCATGATGACACCATACATAATTCAACGTCACCACCTAGAAAGCGCAGCCCGATTGTTCCATTCTGCTTTTTAACTCACTTTTATTGCTATCATAGATTTTCAATTTTGCACACCGTTTTTCCAGCTTCATGTGCTGCCATTAACTTTTTAAAAGGCAATCCGCAGTTCTCGTCTGGTGCATTAAAAACATTTTGATTTGGATCAATAAAGCACTCGTCAGGCCTACGTCCTAAAATGCTCCATCCGCCATTACCTGAAAGTCAGAGAGCACCACAGTGCTCAGCCATTTAATGAGAGCAACGGAATCTCAGAGAGCATTGCAGAGTGGAAGACACTTAGAGAGAGCGGTAAAACATGACAAGCAGCAGAGACACAGACAGAGCTCCAGACTCAGAGGTACTAAGCCACCTGTGCCAGATTTCATGTGCAAATAATGTGCATTCTGCCTGGAAAAGCATGCATGTTACATACAAAAATGACATAAAAGACTAAAAGTGCAGTTTGTGTGCCATGCATACTAAACCAGATCAAATTCTGTTCTCCTTTTCAGGCTATTTTACCTATTGAGCTCTATACATGCCTTAGTTTTAGAAATGACAATAACAGACTTATAGCATTGAGGCAGACTTTCAATCAGTTAATGTTTGCAGTATGGGGTTATTTTAAAGTGGGGTATCAATTTATTTGGAGTGGTCTTTTGTAGATGATTAAGAGTTTAACACATCAACAACATATCAGTGAAGTAGCTATAGTGAAGTATCTGAATACATTGAAGTAAACATCTTGTAGATGTACTGTTGATGCATTACTTACATTAAGTAGATGTGTTGTTAATTTTTTATTTCCATTACGCAAAACCTAACCTCACCCAAGCTTACCCAAAAACTAACCCCCTGGCCCTAATCCTAACCCGAATCCAGGCCCTAATCCTAACCCTAACCTTAGCCTCAACCCAAACCTAAACCTCATGTTGTTTTTGAGATGTTACTGAGCGTCTGTTAAGTGTTTGTTTCATCTAAAAGGACCACTCAGAATAGTGGTCACCTAAAGTGGAAAATGAAAACAGCCCTAGGCTACATGTAATATTTGTAATGCCAGTGTTTCTAGCTGCCTTTCATCAAAATATTGTTAAACAATCTGTAGCTATAATGTAAGTTCATGGCTATTTCATGGTAATAATAAAGAACAAGAACTATTGTTGAGCTTTATAAAACATACAAAGCAGGTTACTGCTTCCATTCCATTTTATTACACAGTAATAATTCATTTATAGACAAAACATTCAGCAACCTCTCTGTCTTGGAACAGCAGCTGTCCTTTTTTTTTTACATTTAGTGTAAAAAAATGTCACAATGAATGGACCAATAGGATCATTCCAAAATTGCCTGGAGTAAAATCTCTTTACATTATACTCACATGAACGCAGGCAGAAGCAGAAACTAGAAAAACAACTAGAGCTCTGATGAAGCAACCAAATCATGGACAGCTGAACAAACTCTAAAATTAGATCATTTTATGTTCACCACAGATTGAAGGATAACAGCAGCCTATTTTTATTATTATCATACTAATTGATTTTGTACCAACCAATGTTTCCATCAAATCCACGTTTTTAGTAGAGCTTGCATGTAAAAAATGGGCTAATGAATTTCACTGTGATCACACACACACACACACACACACGGGCATCCCCTGATTGCATCCTGACAAGCAAGTCATTAGGAATGATCCAGCAGGCTTTGGCCTGTGTGCTGCATTTGAAAGAGTACGATACTTACGAAAATGTCAACTGTCTCCAGAAATCTCAACAGCCGGAATGCTTCCATTATGTTCTTTCCCCTAATGCCTTTCTCAGTAATGCCAGTCGCAGGGCATTTCAGTCCAACAATTTCATGGCAAAACTAATGACACGCACCAAATGGCAGCCTGGGACACCAACATGGATAGTCAGAAGGGCCTGGTCACTAATTTTTTTCATTTTTGATAAATGCTTCCTTATGGAAGTAGATCCCAGCCTAGCTCCATGTTGCGCATTTTTGTGTTTTCCCTCCTTTAACACACTCTTAAACTTCACTTATGCTCCTTGCAAAACTATATGCTTTCATAGTAACTGTTTAAAGCTTTACAAAAACCCTATTCAATATAATGAGAAATTCTACTGAACAATTCAAATGAATCTTATTTTTGTCAAAATACCTAAATAGCTAAAATAGAGAGTTTTACTCATGTCTATTCTGTACATGTGTGGCAGGTCACAATAGGCCTCATTCACCAATATCTTCTAAAGTTTTTTTTCACAAATTTGTTCTTCCTAAGAAAAGGTCCATGTTATATTCATGACGTGTTCTTAAACCACAGAATTTTCACACCTTTGTGCTCTTGAGTTTGTGTAGATTCTGTTCTTACTTAAGAACAAATCCCAAATAAGAAAACATTGGTGAATGTCAGAATCTTCGTGAGAACTGCGTAAGTGGGAATTTCTTCTTAAGAAAGGCTACTGAATGAAGCCCAATGTTAATATATATTGGATATCATTTAGCTACAATAATAAGTGCAGCTGGGCAGCATGGTATCTTTAGCTGAGAACTGAATGCTCTGTAATGACTCTAAACAAACTAGCAGAGCAAACTGAATAACATTTAGTTGCAGGCCTTCTCCAAGGTGCTGAAGAGTCGGGCAGAGTGCTTCAGCATTAATATTGTGGGTAGTGAGGTGCACGTGGCCAAGACATGGACCCGTCCTTATTCAGCTTGGCTGGGACCTGCTAATGAGAGCACAGCTGCACCCCGTCGACACGTGCGCTGACTACCCTAAAACAGAGCTTAGGGACAAAAAGGGGAGGCAGGTCGGACTAACAGATACTATTCTCACCCTCTTTCTGTTTTGTCTCCCTACAGATGTTTAGATGATGCTAAACTGCATGAGTTTCACCAGGTGCCTACGTCCTGAGCCTTGGGTTTCCCCCAGCGATATAAAAATGCTGAGTCAAGTCTGAAACTGGTCTCTTTCTCTTCTATGTGGGCCCCCAGGAGTCTCACTGACGCACAATAGAAATTTATATTAAGAACAGAAGTATTTGCAGGCGAGGCATGGACAGCTCAATTACCTAAGCAGGGAACTGGTTCTTTAGGTCACCAGTCAAGGACCTGAATCCTTTACCCAAAACACAGCAAAAGTCACGGTGGTCATACCAGACAATAAAGATAAAGCAGAGGAAAAGAGACTGTAGAATTGAGTAAAATTGGTATGAGCTCCTCTAGGATGTTCGTAAGGTGAGTTGAGGTATCAGGGTGTTAAAACAGGGCTCTAGCGTCCAGCGGTTACATAAGGTTAGAGAGAGAGAGTTGCATAACATCGATCTTAAAAAGTTTAATCCCAGAGAGACTGAAAGATTTAGAGACTAACAGGGCTAAAGATCTTAGCCAACCTTTCACAAAGTTCCCTCCAGAATAATACTTAAAAGGATGTACCTTATGAACAAGATCATTCATTAATGTTTCACATTGTGGCTGCTCTGCTGCCCCCAGGTTCAGGTTCAGTAGCAGGACTTTGCTGAGTTGCTATCCTTTCGTTTTAGTTCTGTGTGCGTGTAAAACTCAGTGGATTTGAATGGTTAGCTGTGAACCATCTGAATCACGCCGCAGTGGTTTCTCTCCGCAGAGTAAATGACATTTCATTACAGCGTGGAATCTCACAGAGGGGGAGACACGCTAACCTAGCTAACTCTGGGGACCTGAGCCCAAATCAACCACAAATGTCAAATGCAA